TGAAGGCTGATATACCTTCTTTGCTATATTCAGACTAGCCCAAATCCATCAGCACTGTGTATGGAACAGTTTTTTCCCCTGCAGAAAACATCTTATCGCAGAAGCTTTTTTGTCATTAACTTTTTTGTCAGAAGTACCTTTTAGTCATTCACCCTGATATTCACTTACTTATGCACCAGGAATGTCCTACTACTTTGCCTCTTTTCCTCATGGTGCTGCTGTAGGTAAGAGGCAATACCTGAGTCAGGCCCTTTTCCATCAGCACCAAACAGCAAAAGGAGACAGTGAAAGGCAAGTAAGGACTGAGTAGGGTCTAGGCCTTGAGCTAGCCACATACCCTACTATTTCCCCAGACCTGTGCCTGTTACTTGGTAACCTACAGGTAACAAAGCAGGACAGATAGCATCCACTCTCTGAGACTCAGTTGGGCATACCTTGGGCCAGATAGCCCCCTTTCCTCCTCCCCGAGAGCAGGGAGACACTTGGTCTGGAAGGCAGGCTGGCATTCAAGCACAGCGGTATGTGGGGGGTTGTAAGAGACGGGGGCGAGCAGAGGAATCGTGTCACACACAATACCCATCCAACATACAGCAAGGAGACAGAAACACCTTTCCTGGCCTCATTTATATAGGCCACGGGCAAAGACAGGTACTTAACCCAACCACTAGAAAAATGCTTCTGCGTTCCCCCCGCCCCCAGCCTTAAAGTAAGCATGCCACCTTGGCCAAGAGGCTTTAGCCTTAATTATCATGAAACAATGAACAGGATGCACTTCTAAGACCCACTAACCTGACTTCTGAAGCCAAATAGAGGGATGACAGTTCTCAGAGGCTGGCAAGATTTACATAAGAAAGCATTCAAATAGCAGGATCTCATAGACATTTCCTGACAGAGCAAGCTTTTAGTGTATCATAATATTCAGACTGGAGGGGATCTCAGCTTTAGCACTGGGCTGAAGGCTTTTTGTTTGGTTGGTGGTTTTTTTGTTTGTTTGTTTGTAGTGCTTGTCTCCTGGCACTGTTTTGAATCTAGCATGGCCTATAAGTTAGGGGCTGGCGAACATATCCTCTGTACATCTTTAGAATATATTTAAGTTCATCAAACGCGGCTCTGACGCTGGCTGCCATATTCATGAATAGGTGTTTCCGTTCTAAGGTCTGATGTCATATATCATGCAGATTGGCAGGGAAGGTTTTAAGCAAATTTGCTCTAATCTCAGCCTTAATGCCAAAGGAGGGTCCATAAAGGAAGGAAGCACCACAGCTGTCAAAGCAGGGAGCAGCATGCATACTGTGCCCATGTCCTGAATAACTGAATCCTCACGAGTATCTCCAAAAAAAGTTAATAGTGGAACTAGCAATGATACTGAGAGTGTGCCAAGGATGATTAAAGGTGCAGAATGGTTTCCCTAGGAGGAAAACTTAAATAAATGAGAACTGCGCAGCTTGGAAAAGAGATACTGACTGAAGATCAATAGTGTCATCCACTGTGTGTCATAACATAAAGACACACAAACAGCCTATGAAAACATAAGGCAGGCTTAAAAGAAAGGCAAATATACTACCGGAAGGATCACTTCATTTTTACTTTAAGCATTGTTAAATACTCATGGAAGATGACATATTTGAATGTGAACTCCTACAAGCTGAGAAAAGAATGGAACCTGAATGTTATCTTTTTAGATCAGTCTTGTACCTGGTAGGATATTAGAAAAAGGTTTTCCTAAGGCTATGTTTTAAAAAGGAAAAGGCTACTGCATCCTTCGTGAGAATCATAATCCTGAAAAGGCTGAAGCCACATTAACAGCGTGCACCTTATGGATCACATTTCTTAAAAGCCTCAGGTTGAATCCTAAACCCAAATCTGGGTTCTGAAACTGAATCGAGATATAAACATGAATTATGCACTTTGCTGCTCAGAAATCTTACTGTCAGAACAGAGCTTAGTAGAAAGAGAGACAAAATATTTAGGCAGCAAAATAGTTTTTGTTTCAAAAAATACTGCCATTTTTGAAGTTAAGAGCAAGTGAAGGTAAAGCAAGTAAGTGGCAAGGTGATCTGTCCACTAAGAGGAGAGAAGGGTATCTTTGTCAAGTAGAAATTTAGAGGGCATCACTCTCGCATATATTCTGAATACTTAGAAGAGGCAAATGAGAAATCTTCTAACAAATCAGAAACTGTTAATCACACTGGAAAAGGAGAAGAGAGAATTCCTTATTAAAGGTACTAATTTTCTCGTAAATTAATTGCTCTGCCCATCACCATCATTGCTGTTGTATCCAGATTAATCTTTCATTTAATTCCCAGAACTCTGAAGACCTCAGCTGGGAAAACAGAGACATGAATGTCATCTCTGTTTCTGGTGATTGCTCAGCTTTAGCAGATCCAATGAATTCGTTCATGTTGAATGAGAATGACAAACCAGAGCCATGGTCAGTGCAATAGAGCACTGCTGACATATAAGACATCTCCCCATACCCATTGTGAAGGTTATACAGAACAGCCACAGTTAGTTACAACAGCCATTTTCTTTCTTTCATACCCAAAAGTCAGTGTATCAAAACTGATCAAAGAATCATTTATTATGTTGCTATGATGTCTCTGTATCTTGCTTTTAAATCATGAGGGCAATCCTAAGGAATAACTATAGAGGCACATAAAAATAGACCACTTCCAGGGAATCTTTTCAAGGTCCAGTTCAGCTTTCCATATTCGGGATGGTTGGAAATCTGACACTGACTAGGTGAATTTACCCTGCTAGTCCTGTTCTTTCCTATCTCTTGTCTACTGCTCTTTTCTATAGGAGGTAAGAAGCAATATACATAGTCGACTGCTGATCTCTGTCAGCTTCATATTAATCAGAGTCAGCCTAGACAAGGGTGACATATCGACTGAAAACTACAGTTCATTATATTTCTCACTGTAACAAATAGTGTTGGCTTTATTTTGCCTCATCAACTTGCATAATATAATTGACCCAAAGCTTGTCTTATCACTAGATCTGATGTGACACCTTACAGTATGTTAAAAAATCTCTTATCACACCAAAGACGTATCATCGCTACTTTGTACTATGTCCTGTTTCTTTCCCTTACATTTCTTTTAATTGAAAAATTAACCATTGTTTCTTAAACTTTTGAAAATTCAACTTATCTTTCCTCATGTCATCTCCTGGTCTCAGGGCAAGGCAGTTCCTGAAGGTCAGAGGAGTGAAAACTAGCTGTAATTCTTGCTGTAGTAGTTTATTCTCCTTCCTGGCTCAAGAGGCAATGAGTTGCTTTCAGCAGTTGAAGGAAATTAGCAGCCACCTGGGTAGTGTAAACACTTGCAACTAATAATTGCAGTCAGTTCTTACTCCTCTGCCTTGAAAAAAAACTTGCTTGTTGTTAATTCCTGCCATCCAACACTTTGGAAGCTCCTTGCAGTCTTCCGTTTTTAAGACCTCGTGGCCTTAGGTCATGACTCACAGTTTGAGGAACACCCCAATAGATGGTAAATTTTCAAATAATGTTATTTTTAGTGTAAATCTGTGCCAATTGTAACAGGAATATGTTCTCCAGCATAGGCAGAAGATAGAAATAAATATTTAGCTGAATGTAAAGAAACTGTTTACTGTTATCTACAAACAAAATGCAGTTTTATTCAAAGAGACAGAGGATGCAGACACAGTATTCTAATTATAATCAATGAACAGCTTGTGTATAACATCTATTCTACAGATGCAAGTCATTAATTTATTCACATTGTTTAGTGTTTTTGTGTAATGATGCACATCATACACATATTGTACCTTGGGAAAATATAATCCGTTGTGTTAGGATTACCATCATTCTCACTCCAAAAATCAACCATGTAGTGCTATGACATCTTTAGCCAGCTGATGCGAGTAACTATGGGTTGACTACTTATCACTAGGTACTTACTTTTTGGCAGCTCTCAATGAATTCATCTATGGTAACTACTCCATCTTGGTTTTTGTCCATTTTCTGTTCAGAAAGAATAAGCATATTTGTTTATCTTCCTGAAATCCTACATAAAATCCTTTTTTTTCCCCCTCCCCACAGTTATTCGTCAGCTTAAGGAACAACCAAGCCAAAGTACTGTAAAGAAGCAGTAAGTGATATAAGCTGCTTAAGGAGCCTATAGCTGGAAAGGCAAGGAGTAATGAGCAGGTCAGAGAAACAAGTGACTCGGGATTGAAGCACACAGAAGAAAATGGATAACAAGAACAATATGCAAAACTGTTACAACAATGAAAACCTTTCTATATGTGGTAACAGAACATTCCTTTTGGTTTCCTATCTGACCCACCTGGAAAAATGTTTCCACATGTTGTCTAGGTGCGTCCTCCTTGAGAATGGGATAAGTGCATTTCCCCATCATATCATATATTGCTTTCATGATATCAAGCATTTCCTGAAGAGAAGAAAATATGTCTGTGTCATGTAAGGTGCATTGTAGCTATTACTTTGACATAGGGTAGGTACATGATTTTTGACATTTGCATTTTAGAATAAAATTTTGAGACTGTGCCTCTAACTCTGTGATTGAACAGCTTCAAGAATGAACTGCATGCTACCTTAGAAGTTCTAAGCATATTAAATCAGCTTTCATAGTTTGTGTAAATGAAATTAAAAAGATAAACTTGTTAAATGAATGCAGATGTATGTTTCTGATCCTAAATGATTTAGCATATGTAAAAATACTTTGACTGCGGAGAGAATCTCCTGAGACCTATTAAATAAAAATAAACAGGAAAAAAAGTTCTGTAACAGCAGTGGAATAGTCAAAAAACATCACCTTCTTTCACCTCAGTTTTCTAGAGAGAAAACACATGCAAGACGCACACACACTCCCCCCCCCCCCCCCCCCAAAAGCTTTGAATATTGTTAATGAAGTGTGCCCTGTGAAAACTACAAGAACGAGTATAAACATGACTTATCTATCAGTTTGCCAAGAAACTATTCTATAGATGGCCTTTCTATAATAATCATAAAGTGTCTTTCTAAAAATTCAAAATTAATCTTTATGTATATAAGGAGCTAATTTTGAAAAATTATTTATTTTGGTATCTTTTTTTTGGACCGCGTTTTTGGTCCTGCTTTAGGGACCAAATATAATTTAGGTCTGTGTTTATATCCTTGCAAAATAAAGCATTTAGAAATCTTTTTATGTATGTTTTGTAACAGGTAGAAATTTTTAGGAATAGATTCAAAAAATGAGAAACCATTAAGGACCACTTACATTTTTTTGTTCAAATATCCTATCAACCTACTTTATTCCAAAGTGACTGTATGTTCAAATACATATAAGTTGATGCCAAATGTTTCTGTACCTTAAGAATTCTGGACTCTTACAATTTTAGGATGGTTTTCTGTGTTCTATTTTCATATATGCTTTTTAAATTAGAAAATTAGTTAATTTTTAACATGTTTAGTCTGTCGGGAAAATACATTATTCTACTACTAATTTCATAATTTTGACAAGAGTTCTTCTGAAACCATTTTTCTTTGAAGGCAGGATTAATATGCAAAACCTTATGTCATTTCAGTGATTAGTGTAAAAAGTAGACTTTACCTCTTTAGTTATATATCCATCCTTATTTATATCATACAAATTGAAAGCCCAGTTCAGTTTCTCCTGTACAGTCCCTCGGAGTAAAATTGAGAGACCCATAACAAAATCCTAAATAGAAACAAAAGGTCTTGGTCAGTTTGGAAGTGAACAGCTTTCACAAATACTCAGAAATCCAGAACAGTAATTTATTTAGAATCACAGAAGAGTTGAAAGATGTATTACTTCGGTTTCTTTCAGTTGGCAGTAAGTGCTAGGCTTTGCTTGTTATTCTAATAAATGTTAGTCTAGGCTCTATCTGTTATAAATAATAAATAGACTTTTTATCTATTTTCTATAGAAAATTTATAGAAAATTTCTGTAGAGTAATTTTCTATAAAATAAGCTATAACTTTCTTCTGTTAGTGGATTTACCCTCTGAAATGCCTTATGTTAGTAGTTCCTGTTGAACTTAATGCTAGGATAAAGCACTTCCCCATGGTGTAATGGTCCAGAACAAAGCTTAAGTGGGATTTTGATTAATCTTAGCACAGGAGACCAATTTTTGGAGAACTATCCACTAAGGAACATTAACTTCTTGATATATCTCTAGCATGTAGTAAATGGAATATGTGGTTTCTTTTAGATCAGTCTACTGCATTCAACCTTCCAAACTTCTTATGTGCCACAATATACTACAGTAATTAAACCTTTTATTGGAAATATAATAGGAAGTAGTATTTATTATGTGTCTGCAGACCACTCACTCTAATGATCTGGTGACCCACCAGTGCTCTATTTCTGTATTCCACAGAAATAAGCCAAAAAACAGATGAGACGACTATTTAAATATAGGTTTTAGTTACAGATAACTGACAAATTAACCTATAGTCAGCAATAAATAATGCGATTAGTCCAACTATGCTCTTAACTAACAGGCAAAGCATTCTAAGCATTAACATACTCGCATTACATCCGTGCTGGAAGTGGGTTTTTGTTTCATAATTAATACTCTTTAGCAGCATGAACCTCATTTACATTTAGTAAGCATCTTCAAGATTGGAGAAAATATCAGTCAGGATGTATTGTCATGTGTCTTTTGCATTTCTCAGCACATTTATTAACCATAAAATATGTATTTTTTAAAACAGTGAATTTATTTTTTACTAAACCCTTCCTCCCACCTTTTAGGTGATAAGCTTGTAAACCCATGAAGTCATCTCCACAATAGATCAACAAGAATACTGCAAGGGCTTAAGTTAAATATGCATTTCTGCAATGTTGCCAGAGAAATACAGGAAGTCTTAGAGTAGCATGAAGGCAGAAACTATAAAAGCTGAATAATTTCGCATCAGCACTGGCAAAGGTTTAAAGTACCACAGTCAAGTAAGTGTACCGAATACAGCCAAGCATACACAGATATCACATCCTCAGATGGTATGGTGAGCATAGCTCCTCTGCCAGCTTCAGCCTTCAGGTGGTATGCTCTGGGTTTTCTTAGTCTGTCACAAATTTCTGTGTTATTGGTACATTTGCCTTTTGGGGTAAATGAATACATGAATCTTGAAAGAATTTTACTTGTCTTGTCTGTAGTTCAATGACTAATTGAGGGTCACAGGGTTAAATCTCCAAACAGCTTTTAACACTGTACTATTAAGTATTAAAATATTCAAGCAATTCAGAACAGATTTGATCACATTATAGTATTAGCAATCTACCTTTTTACATTCAGCACCATTTCTTCTCATCTTTTCTGTACTGTTTTATATTCTTGATATAGCTTTTCCTGAAGTCCTCTGCAGAGATTTCCAATAACTGTTTTATATCTCAGAACTCTGATTTTATTTTTAATTTGGCACCAGCAACGTTTTTGTACTTGCTCTGATGCTTAAAACATATCTGTTTTATTTCTCTGTCTTCCTTTTCTGAGGCACCACCCCTACATTAGCCGGCTTCCTGGCACCATTTATGTCCCCATTCACAAGCCAGCCCTTCTATCATCAGTGTTAAAAATCATACATTATCAAAGCTTGACTTTATGCTATTTTGCATTGTATCCTCATATAGAGGACACTACACTTTACATAGTGTCCTTATATACTGTTCTAAATTTTATAAGAACTGTATCCTTTTAAAATCCGGAACAACTCAAAAACTTCCAGGTGTGTGATCTAAACTTTGCAATGGTAGGTCACCTCCTTCCACACTGCATCCATGCCTCTGAAAAATGCCAGGTAAATTGCTCCTATCTGAAAGTTCTCTGGAATTCCCTGGTAGAGCAGTCCATCTCAGAAACATTAAAAAAGACTTATGCTAACAGGAAATTGTGATGAGCTGAATAAGGATCAGTTAGGAAGGGTTTTTTGTTTTTTTGTTTTTCTATATAACTTGTCTTACTTTTATGCAATTTAAGAACATAGCAACACAGTTATATAGATATGGAAAATCTGACTCACTGAATGTAGGCTAAATCCATAGGGCATTCAGGGCTAGATTCACAAAGAGAAAAGGACAGACCCAGCATGGTGGAAGACAATGCATTATCAGATGCCGTATAGGTATGTTAGCTGTTAAGCCAGTGCAGAGCACCAAATGAAAGCAACAGTACTTGAGACAGCAGCTAAGTACAGAGAGAGTGTCTATAAACTTGTAAGTAACAACTCAGTGACTCAATGAATCATGCATTCCGCTTTATCTAGCATATGAGCATGAACCAAACTCTCCGTTACTCAGATGTGTTTTTCTTTCTGATTTAGGTATCTGATTCTTGCAGAGAAAGGGATTCTGGTTCTTGCAGAGAAAGGGATTCTACTTTTAAAAACTTTATTTATAAAGCAAGATTCTCAATACTGCTCAGATACTTACATCAGTAGTATCAACACTGGCCATTCATATTGAGACAGTCCTGCCTAGTTGAGCACCTAATCAGAGGTACATCGGATCTAGGGTCACAAAGGGGTCTAAAACTCCAGAGAATGGCTGGAGCTCACACCTTTGTTTTTATCATTTTGTGTTAGTAAGTTTTGTGTCAGGTCTCTGTTTAGTCTGTGATGGCAGAATTATAAGCACATGAGTCTGTGCTTTGGTACTTTCCCGTAGTTCTGACCACACTGTTTCTCATTTCCAACTCTCTAGCTTCCTGCTAAGCATGCTGGTATCTGTGAGAACCCCATTTAAATGCTGAACTCTCCTGTGCCTAACTCGGATGTTACAAGAAAGGCGGATGTCTCAGTAGTGTTGTAAAGCAGAGCATCATAGCACCCACATTAGAGCCTCATGCCTCTGTTTGTTTGGTCCACATTTCTGCATCAGAGCTGAATAGAACCTACACTACTTCTGGTTGTAACCTGGGATTAACTTTCCTTTTTTTTTTTTTTTTCCCCCAACAGTGATTAATTATCTCTTAACAAAGTTGTTGATGACTTTCTGCTTGCTTCCTCCCTTGGTAAGTCCTTGGGGAGAACTATTGCATTAAGTAACAAGCTTAATAGTATGTTATCTTAAATCCATAGGAAAGCTTAAAATTAATCCACCTGAGTGTGTGTTCATTTATGTCTTGTTCAAGGCCAGAACAAGTAGGTAGGCACATAAATCCATTTTTGAATTTAGCTTTTAGAGTTTCAGAAAGGAATCAAGCAGTGAATTTTGGGGATGGATGTCTGTTATTTATCCACAGAAATGGTGGAGCACTGATGCAATAAAGACAACGAAGGTCATCGATGGCCTGGAGGAACTGCTGTTAAGAGGAAAAATGCCTCTCTCTAGCTATGTTATACCAGCTGTGTTTAAAATGCTTATGAGATCAACACTGTCCTTAGAAAAATTAGCTTGACTCAGATAGGACATGAACAAAATCCTTTTGTGTTTACTGCAGAGAATGATGCTTGGATACATTCATGAAACTGCTACTCTCATGTTACTATTTTGAAGATAGTGAATGTACAATATAGTTATTATTAATTAAATACCAAAGTTGTGTTTGATCTTAAGCAACACAAAAGAAGACATAACTAGATAAGTTAATTCTGAGCTCTCCTATGGATTTGAGTTAGCATGTTTGTTATTTATGTACATGTAATCTATTAATGCAGAATTCTCTTGAGAGAATAATTGAGGAATAAAGCCATCAGAAAGTCACCACGAACTTTTCTAAGAGATAATCATGTTTGGAAAAATGAATACAGGTTTGTTTTTGCTTAAAAATGACAAAAGTCTTTAAACATCACCATTGCACTTAGGCACAGCTTTATATTTTAAGGCACTGAGAATCCATGGGTTTACTGAGTGACTTCCTTCTCATCAAGATCACATTTAGAAGGACCTTAATCTGCATCTAAAGCAAACCAAGGACACTGATTTGAATACTTGCATGTGGGCACAATATGCTTTACCTTTGGCTATAGTTCTTAAAATAATTAGCCTTAACTTTCCTAACTTTTCCTGTGTAACTCTCCAGATTTTCAAAACTATTTATGTGATGCTTTACAACTTTTAGTGTCTTAACACACCATTAAAGAACCTCAGCATCCTCAAACTTGTCACTGAGCTGTGCCATAACCCTAAATTTACCCAACCAAATAAATCTAGTTTGAATTCCACTCTCCAATTAAAATCAGTGGAAGAAAGGCTTCTAAAGGAGGCTTCTGTGGTTGTCACCATTAGATACGAAGTGTATCAGTCAGGTGCCTAAGACCAGAAGAGCTGAAATCTTTAACACCTTACTCAGTTGCCTACAAGCTCTTATTTCTTATCACTAAAACTCCTATGGCTTTTGTATGTCTGCCCAGAGGAGGCTTCCATCTCTTCTAATTCTGCTGAACATACCTGAGACTTCATTTACACTTCTTTTCTGCACAGCTTTCAGATGAGGCTTTCCTGAGCCTGGCTTATATGCAGTTCTGAACGACCAGAAATTGTCAGAAATAAACACTGTATTAAGTCTTCCATAAGGTGAAAAAAAAAAAAAAAAAAGAAAAGAGGGATTGGGGGATGAACGCCCATTTCATTTTGCTTTGGTTGTTACAATATTCATGCAGCAAGTGGAAAACTTGCTTTCGCATTTATATGATGAAAAAAGAACTTGAACCCAGTTCACTAATGTGCCAGAAGGGCCTGTTAACAGCGGGGCCGCTGGGTGTTCAGAAAATACGTTTATCCCTCATGTTAAAGCAAAAACTATTTTGCATAACTAATGAAATGAGTTAGTCTCAAAAGAAAACATGAATAAAGGTGAGGAACTGACGTGGTCATGGGACACGGAGAGATAGCTTCGAGCAGCTCCTTCCATGAATATTTATTTTTATGCTAAGTTAAATAGCTTTGGCTGGAGAGACTGAAACTTATCAGAAAGTATATAGATTTAGGGATGAGCAAAATTTTAAGTACATAGCAATCTCACTAAGCAACCTTATCCAATAAAGGTGTATTTAAGTCACACAAGGTTGTGCTAAAGTCTAACACCTCATTGCTGATGGTTGAAAATTTGAAGAAAAAGGATAAAAAAGCTAGAAAAAATGATCTCTTTCTTCATTCTCTCAATTCCAGCTACTACAGCATATTTCGAAAAAGGAGAGTGCAACAGACAGAAGATACCACTCTTACCTATCAGGTATATTTTTAGTTCTCCCAGTACCAATTTAAGTTTTCATGTCCATTTTACATAGAAGAGGGCCAAAGAATATTTTCCTTCATGGATCATAGTTACATTAAATTATATTTAGTGCTACACTGGCCTTTGTTATAGAAAGTAACTTGAAATGAATGATTATTTATTCTCCAAATTTTTAAAGTAGCCCCTTTTTCTCCACTTTTTGTGCTGACAGTAGTTAGAAAATGAGAGTATGGATTGGTATTGAAAAAACATGGCACCACTACAAATAGGATACAAATTGAGCAGAAAATAAATTACGGGATTGTATTTCTCACATTTCCTCTGCTTTCTCAATTCACAGCTACTTTCACATGTTTGGAAAAAGTGCAAACATTTTTAACAGGAGGAGAAGGATTTTAGAATCCCCATCATACAGTTTACAAGTAGTAAACTGCTACGTGTTACAAAGACCCAGAGCTAGATCCTTTTGACAGCAGTTGAGTTATGCTGGATTTACAATTAGTGTAAATGAGATCAAAGCCTGGGTCACTGTGTCTAAGCGGATATTGAACAGAAGTTAGCTGGGGAATGTCTGTTCTGGTGATGAACAAAACACAACTTATTTGTTTTCCTATTTTATTTTATTCCAAAGCCTTTTTTGTACAAGAGGCTGTATTTTGAGATGTTAAAATCCCTTTAAAATGCTTTACATCTTCTGCATTTTCTTAAGGCTGTCTTTCTGAGATAAAAATGTCAGTAAAATAGTTCATGAAAGATATAAAAATCTCCTTTCATTCTCACTTTCTCCAATGATCGAAAATCACAGCAGAAATGCTTCTCAAAATTTGATGCTAAATAATTTTCAGCATTGCCTCTGCTAACTTAATCAGAAGGATTCCGTGTAGAAACAGCTCATGTACAAAAGGTGCAGATAGAAAAAAGCTCCATTCCTGCTTGTATTTTCACACGGAAGCCGTTGATTTCAGCTGACCGTAAAAAGGCAGATAGGGTTTCCTGTTTTTTCAAATAAACCCAAATAATCCCCGACAAAATGTGCTGGCTATATTCCTAGTTGAGGTTTAGGTTTTGTAATCACAGTGCATTTGCTTGGCAAAGGCTTCTCCTTCCATATTACATCAATAATAAAACAGTGAAAATGCTTTAAAAATTTTCAAATCTCACAACCTCATTCACTCAAGTAAATCATAAAAACATTTCTAAGACATTTAAGTGGGTGTATTTAATAGCAAAGCAATTTCAAGTTGTATAAGGATATTATCTACTCATTAATAACAAAAAACATAAAGCAAAACATGACAAAACAAGCATGTCCTTTTTTTCAGGTGAACTGAGTGGTTTTAATTCTGTAGCTTAAAATAATGGCTCTTTTGCAGAAACTTGTACTTCTCCTATACTTTTAAATACAATTGCCTTAAAGCCATTTTTGTACAGCCTCCTCCTGAAAAACTAATAGTGTGTGTGAGCAATCCTTATTTGGCTGCGTAGTCCTCACTCACATCAGTTGGAGTTCAGAGTCCTTCTCAGCTTTAGGAGGCAATGAGGAAGAACAACTATTCCTTTAGGTACCTTGCATATAAATTAGGTTGCCTTTTAAATGAACAGATTTATTAAAAAAATATTACATAGTGGCACAGTTTCAGTTACAGGTCTGGGATATACAATTGTGAAATAATACTGACTTTTCTCAAATACATCAGAAAAGCTTGACACTTGAGCCACACAATGTAAAGTTTTAATGTGAAAAACACACACGCGCACACACACACACGCACGCACAAATCAATTGTAGCGAAAGAACTAACAGTAGCACTTACCTCAAAACTTACCGATCCGTTGTGATCGGTGTCAAATGCATTAAACAGAAAATGTGCATAAGTTGTGGAATCTAGAATTTAAAACAGTAAGAATAGTCTGCAGTGAGCACATCTTATTTCATTTAATTTCATTGCATGAAAAAATTGATACCAGCAAGTCTAAATTTTCAGCTCAGTTTTAACTTTTTTTTAGCAAAGGAGGAGGGATACATTATAAGTGCAAGTGTACAGGTAACTACATTGTTAGGAATGGGAGTTATAAACATCTGAGCTAGAATGTCTGTACTAATTTTCATCATAATTTCTGTATGCAAAGTAGTAGTCACCATTATCTGAAAGGATGGCAAAGAAGTCATGTGACTGTACTCTGAAACAACTTGTGCTACTGAGAGCTCTGCTTTGTCAATTACATGACCGTGATAGTAGATTTATGTCGCGTGTTAACAAAGAAAAATGTGTTCATTTGTTCATTTTAAACGAAGGAAACAGACACTAGCGTCTGTGCATCTGCTGCATTGTTTTTACTTTGAAGACAGGCTGTTACCCAAGGTGAAGATGAGCTCGTCAGAAGCTCCTCAACATACTCAACGCAGCAATTGCAGGAGAGACGCCACAGCTGAGGCTCCTGCTGCACAACTTCAGCACTTTGCTTTATACACTTGACTTTTGAACAGCGGCCCATAGGTAAAATAAAATCCTATCCAGAGAAGCAGCTTCTTAAAGCTAGTTTGCAGCTTATTCCCTATGAACACCATGTTAGAGGCAGCTGCTTAAAAACTGAAAAAACTGGCGGTGACTAAGCAAAGTCTTTAATAAGACTCTAAAAAACAACCTTATTTATTCGTAAACAAATGATCCCTTCACCAATTATGTGTTTACTTTTCAAACCCATAGACAAGTGCATGTTGGGCTTATTTTGGGAGCACAGTACGGCATCCAATGTAAATATGTCGATATAAGTTTTCATAAACATCCATCTTTCCATTTCTATTAAATTGCTTCTGAGAGACACAAACTGCTCCAGGAATAATACATTATAAGGGGAAATGGAAAACTTCTCCAGAGATTGCCCTCCTGATGTAAATCACCAGCTGCTAAGGTTACGGGAAGTCAGCTCTGCTCTCTGTATTTTGCCTCTCCCAAAACTATGCAAATTAATATAGGCTGAGGTACTGCTTACTTACAATGCTTTGTCCTGCCACTTCATTCTTCTACAAATTTTAGGTTAACTAATATTAACCACACAAAGTTCTAGTAAGATGAGAAGTGTTGTGGCCTCCATTTTATAGGTGAGGAACTGAGGCAAAGACAATTCATGCTATTGGCCACAGCCATGACTGCAAAATCAAAGAGGAACACAACCTTGCCCTGCAAATTAAGATTATTCTTCCTGAGGCTACAGAACAATCTCAGTCAGGATATAAATACTACAAGGGAAGTCTTTTCCCTAGAGTATTTTGGTCCAGCAGCAAATGCTTTGAAATAAACTTTCTATAACAGATAATCAAAATACCTGCTCTCTCAAACAGTAGCAATTGCTAAAAAATGCTCAGCCTTTTAGTTTTCATCTGTTGCACTTTGGTCACGCCTATTTAAATCCAGGGTAGTGATTTAAATCACTGAACCTCCTGTTCTTCCTTCCTTACACTGAACCTCCTGTTCTTCCTTCCATTCCATCACAACACGTGCTGTCTTTCATTTTCCATGAACGAAAATTTGCTGAGATGCCTTTTGCTGATTTCTTGGAACTAAACCACTTACCTTTCATATTAATCCAGAAAACTATTTGTCACAGCCCAAACAATTCTTTTGAATTCAACTGAGTAATCACCTTGGTGAGATCAAAATGCCATGCTGGTTTCAGGAAACCAAATAAACTAAAGCTCCAAACTTTGTACCTCACAGATTCAGACCTGACATTAGTAAGACAAGTCTCTGATCTTACCTCAGTATTTTAATTTCTTATGGTATGAAATAATTGTAACAAGATCAAACTCTGCAGCCTTTGAACCCTGGCTGCATCTGTCAATGGATTTTCAGTGAACTAAAAAAAAAAAAAATACTATTGAGACATTAATTCATCCATGCACGTAGCCAGCCACCAGTATAATTGCTGAAGGCATGACCTAACATACAAATTCTCACTTTAACTGAAAAATTTAAATGCTTTGACTTCAGTTTATATTTAGGGTTATCATAGTCATATTTTACATAATCTGCTGAGACATCTGTTGTGCAACAGAATATACTCTGAACCATCTTCCAGAAGAAAAATATTATAGAGGTATAATTACTGTAAACTAATTATTATGTATCTTCCCATTCTATTGGCTTTCATTTCATAAATAGGTGACATATTCCTAAATATTTTCTGTGGATTTATAATGAATATCACTGTGTTAAAACACTTTTTTTCTTACTGTTTGCTGCCCACATATGATGCAATTTAATATTGTTTTTGTATGATGGTATATACACACAAAAAAATCTGTATTTGCTGAATTTTTTCTTTCTAGGAACCTTTTTTGAAAAACTTTTTAAAAATTCTCAGGTCTTTTTCAGGATTGTTTGTTCAGATAAAATATCTGTTGAAGATCTCTGAAATTTTGTCTTTGAAAACATTGTAAGGACATGGTACACTAGTGTTTTAACCAGTGCTACTGCATGTGATTTCTCCTCCCGCTAACTCTTCAACACTAATCACAGTAGACAAAAGCTTTACTTCAGCATGAACTATGGTTTCTTTTCAGTGTCCTGATATCATAACTAGTAGGCTACATTAATATTTTGACAGGTTGAGGCAGGAATAGATACAAAATACTAATTCCTTTGAGATACGCACTAAAGAATCTTAAATATCGGAGACAAAAAAATGGTAGTCATTATGTATTCAACAGTATCCCTCATTGAATCATGAACATAAGCTGTTCTGTTCATAGCTGAGGAGGAATGTAACAATTATTCAGTGTTGACTCTTATCTATGACCTGTAAGTCTACGAACAAGTCCCAAGTTACATTTCAGACAATCAATTGAACTGCGTGTTGAATGAATGCAAGGGAGCTAATGGGGCTTATTCATTCACCTATACAGCAACATTTTCCCACTAAAAAGAAGTTACCTCCACTGGAGTGCCTTTCTAGCAGAGAAAGCTTTTCAAAAACTTCTGCTTTTTATAATACATTCATTTTGTTGCAATCCTCTCTCATCTCCTTTGTTTTTCTTATGGATTCCTTGTCCCCTTTTTATTCTTCCTGGCCCTTCTCCTGGTTAGTCCTGGAAGTCCCTTGGTAGATTTGCTGCATGGCCTGGGAAAATGACTTTTTGATGATTACTTGGTCACCCTAAAGCTCAAATGTTAAACAATATCATTCCATTTGCTTAAACGATATGAATAGTTATAACGATACACCCAGTTGTATCTGTTTTTGCATTACATTGACATTTGGGACACAGATGTACGTACATATTAGTGTTGATTCTGAGACATACGAACATGTTCCTCCCTACTCTGCAATTATAAAAGTTTTTTTTTTCTTTTCTTTTTAATATCCAGACATAAACAAAATCAATATTAAAAGTGCAACTGAAATCCAAAGGCCTCAGCTGTATGCAATATCTTGGCAATACATTTGAAGATTTAAGTATCTAATCTGACTGTTTAATTAGACACTTTGATGTGATGATCTCACCTGCTTGTTAACATGCAGGGATATAAAAATACAGACAATTAACTGTGCTTGAAAGATATCCTTACTATTTTGAGGAACAAAGAACAGATTCTGGTTCCCATACCTCGCACAGAATGGCAAAAATCAACATAGGAATCTACAGAATGAAATGAAAAAATTTGATGAAAGACTAGTGAAAATCAGAACGAATCCAGTGGGAAAGAATATAAAAATATGTCCTTATGATTCTTGGTATAATATAGGGTCTTTCTTTGCTCTATCCAGTTGAAATTACTATAGTGGTCACGGCTGCTGAAAATCTTCATGAGCTGAACCCTGAGGAATGATGACCAGGTAAGGATTACACTATAAAACCTATTTCTTTCTCTTTTCATACAGTTATGTTTTAAACAGTATAAAAATATTCGTTTTTTAAAAAAAGAAAGAAAATGAAAGTAAAACATAAATTTGTCATAAACTTATAATTTTTATTTCCCCAAGAGTTTAACTATGATCACAGAAGAAAAAAATCATTATCTTAGTAATTATCTATTAGGATTAGTAATTGTATAAACTATTCAAGTCTCTTAAAAAATCAAAAAATCAAATATGGATGTAAGAGAATAGAAAATAATTATATAAAATGTACTTCTTATGCTGAAATATACCCATCCATAGGATGAATACAATTTTAAAATGTCACTTAAACTTTTGTCTTGCACAGTTCCACAAAATAAAGTGACGTAAAAATTAGTTTTCATGAAGATTGGGAAATACATCTTTTTCCCAAAGGTGACTACACAAAATTCCTGACTTTTGTAAAGGGATAAAATTTCTGCAAGACACTTTGTGAAGCAGTTCTAATTTATTCTAATTGTGTCCCTATGGAAGGTAGTATTGTTTTTATTATATTCTTTTAGGATAATGGGATCTTGAGTGTTTCTGAAAAACTCACTCTGCACTGAAATATGAGCTTTTTTTTAAACTAAGAGTGTCAGACATTCAGCATAAAAAACTCAAAATGGTTTGAAGAGAGCTATTGTTAACTAAGCCCTCAGAAAAGTTTAGGATTTTGGTACTAATTACATTCAAATATCTGCAACTGTCTTTTATGTAAAATACATTGAGCAAACATAAACATTTCTCTTTCTTTCTAGAGAAAGATTCCAATTTCACTGAGCCCACAGCAGCTATAGGGAACATACTGATGTGAGCTGCTACACTTGAGAGGACAACCAGTTCTTCTGCTGTTACCTCTGAATACTTTTCCTGATTTTTTGAGCAAAACTATATAAAGTTTGCAGATTTGTTTATGCAGTAGTGTACATTGTATTTATACTATGTGCACTATTTATACTGCACACCTGTGAGTGCAGGCTATTGAACATGGAAAGCAGAATGAAATGGCTTCTGATGAAGGAGAGCTTCTCAACGATCCTCATTGAGATCTCTGCAATTATTTTAAAAAATCTAAAAATCCCATTAGTAGTGCAAAACAACATATATTACTGACAAATGAATTATCTGGATTTGATACTTTCTTACCATGCTAAAAAACAAATGCATTGGGCTTCTTTTCAAAAAAACCTATAGAAAAAGATTCTCTACTTCAGTAAAGCCTAAGGTGCTGTAGAGGTGACAGTTAACTTTATGATATTAACACCTCAGAAACAAACCAGAGTTTTGACTTGATGTTTGTGGGAAGAACTTCACTGTTTGGGCTCCAAAATGAATGGAAGCTAGGGATTTATAGTAGTCTATGGGATGCTGATTTTTTAAGACATCTTTCTACTATATTTTACAAAAATTAAATGAAGCAAGAGGGAGAAGCATGTTTTTGCCCAAAAGTATAGTACCCTTGTTGCAGATAAGGGAAAGCCATTGCTGAAATGGCAGCAGATAGTGTAACCCCGTACCTCGTTAATATAGTATTGCCATTGCTAGTAACAGGGTTTGTACTGAATTTTCAAGACCTCAAGCAGAGGCTTATCAGGCTTGCTCTGCCTGAACCTTTCTTGACCTGCCTGCAGCTTTCTTTTAATTGGTTTAGCTGTGACTGCAATTTCTCTAATTGACCAGGTATCTAAGGATGATTTGTTTTACTTCTGTTTATCTTATAACTCAACCTATATAACACACAATCATAGTTTTATATAGGCAGCAAAAACAAGCCATTACTCTACGTAGAATGAGATGTTTATGACTCTAACACAACGATGCAGTGTAGAGAAATACAGGGCTGGTATGACAGCCGAGGCCTTGAGCAGTGGAGATGCAGGATGCAGCATGGAGGAGCGCAGTCCTGGGATGGTAAGGAATGGGGCACAGGCTGGCACTGGAGACCCCAGGGCTATAAACAACTTCCTAGTGCGCAGTTAGAGAAATGCAGACCAGGAGCTGGACATAACTGGTTTTAGGAGTACCAAAGAGAACAAAGCAGTAGTATTTAACATATGTGAACAAACTACGTATAGTCAATTCAGATGTCATGTGGAGCTGCAGATTCATGAAGAAAGAAAAAGGTGTAAAAGCATGTTAGAAAACATATAAAAATGACCCTGAGTGTATCCTAGAGCAAGGAAGAAGACATCATGAAAGAGGCCACCATATTCCCCCCGGCAAAGGACTCCAGATGCTGACAACTCACCGTCCTTACTTTCCCCAGAATGAAACCACTGACCATAAGGCTCAGGAGCAGTGGAAGGGTGCGCATAATACCAGGAAAAGGGGTAGAAACTAAGTGTGTGTATAACAATTTTAACTGCATTCGTATTCTTTATTTTTCTATGACAATTAGATCCGGACTAACAGAGATTAGGCTTTTAAGATTCCTATTATACTAACAACAAATTCTTAACTTTACTTTTGACCATAAAGAATTTTGAGTGCAACAAATCTTATATATTTTGTTGCTATTATATTAAGTTTCTATGGTGAAGTAAATCACATGCATAGAAGTTATTTTCACAAGTCAGGGTAACTAAAAAATATAATATTTGAAACTGTAATTGTTAGCCTGCTTTAAAAGCTTAGATACAGAAATAATCAGTAGGCAGGTCAAATCTTTTAGCCTTTTGTTCTTACCTATTGAGTACGCTTACTTGCTAAGGATTGCAGTGATGGTAATCCACAGTGAATGTTGCTCTTTACCTTCTAGGTTTTTATTTAATATAAAACTAACTGGCAGAGTTTACGTTCCTACTAATTAAAGATTTTTTTTTTTAATGTAAGTGAAAAGGAAGAGCTATGAACAGTCTCAATGAAACATGCAAATCTCAAGAGCTGTGGGAGCAGATGAAGAGCTAGGATTGAAGTGCTGTAGGAGAATATGAAGAGAGAGAATTGAATGGAAAGAGGAAGAGGAAGAAAACAGAAGAAAATAATGCAAACTAAATGAAAATCTGCAGTTCAAGGCAAAACATTCTGTAAGATACACCTTTTGGTTATCTTTGCTGCACTAAAAGATAATGAAGATAAAGAAAGTAATGAAACCCTTAGAAATGACTTCACCAAAATTAGAGTAGCACAAAAAACCTCTCATTTAAGTAGAGAAACCCCATAAAAGTCAACGGGGCTTCTCCCTTTGATACTACATTTGAATCTGGCTCATACCCATACTACCTCCTACAGTTTTAATTCCTACTGTGAAAGTTTTTGTGGAATGAAAGAGAATGAGGAATACACGGAAAGTTTAAAAATAAATAACCTACTCAGAAATACCTCTTTTTCAAAAATTTATACACCCAAGTTGTAACTTCATAACTGGAGACTGGTATCTTGTAGATATCGTTGTACTTCATTCTGAAATATATAACTTTAAATGTGTCTAGCCATCAAGTAACCTGTGAGGTCAAACAGAATTCAGTACAATAGTCTTGTTGATTTGAACAATAGGCTATTTTACAGGAGTTAGAAACTAAGAAACATAATTCTCCATACATTCTTATACTAATTATGTATGCCAAGTACTCACCTCCCTGTGGAAAGAACTGAGAGTAAATTTCTTTGAAGGTGTCTTCATTGACAACACCGCTGGGACATTCCTGAAGAAAGTTAAAGACAATAAATAAATAGCGTGTTCATCTAATCTGGTTCAGACAAATTATGTGCATGTGAGATCGTATACCAAAGTGGTATAGAACATGTATGTGACTCTGACAGTTTATCATGCTTGAAAAGAGTCTGATTTTGCACTTTAAACCCAATTTTAATACATTAAACACATATCACTTTAAAGTATCTTTCTAAAGAGTTCCCATGAAACAAGTATTCCTTCTGTGCCATAATCTCCACTTCAGTACTGAGAACTTAAGTGACAGACATAAGCAGGAAACGCTGTGGTGCAGTGCATGGAGCCAGCAGCGCAGCTGTCAGCCGTGGGGGATCACCCTTACCCCTGCAAGCAACGCTTGTGCATTATGGACCAACCCAGTAAAGTGTACTGCGTTTGCAGTTATGTATTATTGCTAGAATTTGCGGTCATATTCTACCTGAAAAAGCTCTATCCAATGAATTCAAAAGACCCTACCACAGAAAGTCTCATTCAAGCCTCAAAGATCCTTCTCCCTCTTTACTTCTTGTTCATGAACTGCAACTTGTAAGAAAGGACAAGCAGAAAGCTATAGAGCAAGCAGATTAAGGAGAAAATCAAAGGATGCAGAGGAGAAGAAAAAAGAGGATTAGAGCAGTGACTTTTCAAAAATCACTTATGTAAAGAGATGAAAGAAACAGAAGAGCACAGTACTGTTTATTAGCTACTGCAGGAATATCAGAGACAAGACATCTAAGTTCTAGTTCTGAATTTGCCAAACTGAGCAGATGACCTCGGGCATTGTATGTAATTTCTTTTTGCCTTAATTCCTTCTTTAATCGGGGGTGGGGAGGAGGACAAAACTGGCAAGCTCTTCTAACAAGAAAGTATTTCTAGAAACAAAGGAGAGATAAATTACGTTTCATACATTTATTTTTGTCCATTGCTATACTGACTGTTTGGACTGATGGCTCCAATTTAGAGGCTTCTAGTTCTAAATCAGGGAAAAGAAATATCTTCAAATGAAGATAAAGAATGTTGTAACATTTTTGACTTTTCTTAAATCAAATAAGGAACACAGACTTACTCATGGTTATGGCAACTTATGCTAAGAAACAAATAGCGTAATCTAGCTAACTGAGAGATGAATGCACTGAAAAATGCATGTCACATCGGTAAATCTAAGATTACTTTGATTTAGGTCATGTACCCTCAGCCAAAATCAAATCTTCACCAGAACCGAGAATGTGTAAACGCGCATTAAGAGACAAGTCTATCTGATCAGACAAAGAGCAGTCATGGAGATAGAAGTCGGAAATTATTTGTTCCTGGCCATAGAGGTTGGCACCGATTGAAGCAGAATTAGAACACAGATCCCCATACGACCAGATCTGTCCAATCTGCTGGGCCACACTGCCTTTCAAATCAAAGCCTTTTGGGGAATGGAGAGAGAAGTACAACGGATCTAGTCGCTATCTTTCATCAGAAGTCTTCCTGCCCAGGTAAGGAGCAATCCGTTAATTGAGAAAGGATCTCCTTGCCTATTACGTATTTGTGTGCAAGGGCATCCTAAAACATCTTTATCTGCTTTTACCTGTGTCACAGAAGCACTGTAGTCAGATGTTCTAGCGTCTTTCTGGTCCCTAACTAGGTTTACTGTCCTGCTTGTCTTTTCATATGAAGCCTTCTGGAGTTGTATAAACGCATACAATAGACCATTATTTTTACTTGTAATTGAAGTCTAGTAAAAAAAAAATTCAGTGAAGCATTGAGACACTCAGTGATAAAATATTTATATAATATAAAAAACGTAAAATAACGTATTTCATAAATTCCTCTTCCAATCACATATTGATATATCTTTCATCATTCCCAGAACTGCTCAAAAAAGAGTTATGCTACCTGCTCCCTGAGATAAATGGGAATGTAAAAGGGCAATGCAGCATTTGAGAATTCAGAAAAAGAAGCAATGGCTTCTTTCTGTTCTGCTTGTCTTTTTTTTCAGACAAAAGTTTAGAACATTTTTGAGGAACTAAAAAGAAAACCTATATTTCTGAATTTGTATAAGTCAGTTTTTCTGCTTTTTTTGGATTAAGCTTAATATATAATGAATGACAAAAAGTGTATTCAGGTTCACCTAACTGCACGTACAGTGATTTTGCTACTTTTTCCTTGGATAAGAAAGACATACAAAATATGCACATTTTACAATGATTCCCCTTTTTACAGTAAGTCTTACAGACACAAAAAACATCAGCACCTCCAACTTCTTAGTCTTAGTCTAACGACTGTCAAGAATAAGACTTCCATTTCCTCATTGCATTCAAATTCTGACATGCTAGAGGTGAATCAAAGGTACTCTGTAAAAATTTATCTGATTTTTTACATTAGTTTAAAATAAGTTAGCAGCTGCCACATAGGCTGTTTTTAGAGAAATATATGATCTGCATACCTTATTTAAAAAGTCAGTACTTTTTTCTCTCACTTAATGAACTTGTGTTTCGCCATATTGTTTGAAAGAAACAGTGCTTGAAACGGCAGCCTGCTTTCACAGAATTGTATATTAGTGGAGTTAGAAGTGACCGCTTGGGTCATCTGCGCTCACCCTCTGTATTTTCCTCAGCTCCTCACCTCATCATTGCCAGTCACACCTTATCTTTTCCATCCTTGGAGATCTATAGTAGTGGTATCTTAAGAACATTATTTAAAAATCTGCTAGGCTGGCCACTTACTCCTATCAGGAACGCGTAGTTCCAGCTGCTTTTTCTATAGCTTAGATCTTTCCACTGAGATTGTATAAGGCTTTGAATAGCTCCAGTTTCAAATAATTTTAATCCAAATCTATATGTAGCAAATGCTATTTACCTCCAAGAGTGTTCTATTCTTGATTCATAAATCTAGCTTCATTATATTTATTGGGAGATTTCTCTAGTTCAGTGAAGGACCTTTAATACTGTAATTGTTAAGTATGCCCCATGGCTTTATGTCAAGTTATTACTGACTTGATTCTATTGTATCAACTGTAATTAAAACAATCTTTCTTACCTTTCATTAAACTCTTATAAAAGAAAACAAAATAATTAAATAGTCTGAAAGAAAAATGTGAGACTCATTTAAACCATTTCCTATATTCTGTTTCTCTCCAGTTCTATGTAATTTATTTTGTTTGAGAAAATTTCCGTTTGAGAGTCTTTTAAGATTATAATAAAGATGTATTATATGTTCTTTCTGGAGGAAAAAAAAAGAGTAAAAGTTCATCTTGGGCTGTTTTTTCTTAAGTCCAGGGCTTTCTCCTTTAAAGAGAAAATAAGATAAGCTGACAGAAAGAAGAGACAGAGAAAGAAGAAGAGACAGTTTCTGCCTTTTGATGATCTCTGTTCTTGCAATTTTACAATTGAAATACAAGGTCTTATGAACCACTCAAAAACTTGTAAATTATTTACCAGCTTCCTGCTGTCCTTTATTTCAGTATTTCGAAGAATACTGCAAGAGGTGTATTCTTCTTTGCCACGTAATCAACACTCTTTTTAGACAAGAGGCAAACCCAAAAAGACACACACACACACACATACAAATTGGGAAGGGAAGTGCAGGAAAGAGAATGATGCAGAAACAACCACAAAGCTCTGACTTTTGTCTGCATAATAAACAATTTTGTATGATAGACTAAGCTGTACTATGTGCGTTGACAGTTTTAAATATATTTTAATTATAAGCTTCTGCTAGTCAACTTTTCCACCCCATGCTTTATTTTCTGTCAATGTTTGTTCTGCTTCATTTCAGGTACATGTTTATGTCCATTATGTCCGTTCACTTAATTATCTCTGACTTGCAATATTTTCTCCTTTTGCACGTACTTCTATTGTGACTGAAAATTTAAATTTTCCATAAACACACTACTAAACAGGACTTGGACCGTACCTTTACGGCTATTCCTTACTACAACTAGAATTGCAGAGTTCTGAATCTGGGAAGAAACTGTCTCTTGCATCAGTCCCAGCTGTGAAGTGACTGGCTGAGCGTCAACACTACTGAAAAGGATGTGGGGCTGTAGTGCATGTCAGGTTGAATATGAGCCAGTAAGACATTCAGATTGCAAATAAGAGAAACCACCTCCCGGTTCATGGCCAGGGGCTGAGAGAGTTATTCCCTGTCTCTGCCTGGTACCGGTAAGGTAGCAACTGGAATACCGTGTCCGGTCTTGGGGGCCCTCCCAGGTTAGGAGGCATGTGCAGAAACTGGAGACAGTTCAGCAGAGGGCCACAAAGATTATCAGGGACAGAAAGCACATAATCTGCAAGGAGAGGCTGAGAGAGCTGGGCTGATTCAGCCTAGGTCAATGCTAAGGGATGAGCTAATAGCAGCCTACTTGAAGGGCAGTAGCTAAGATAAGGGAACCACTTCAGGAAGGAGTGGTACTGGCAGAGAACATAACAAGGGGCAATGGCAACAGTACGAGTTTTGCAGGTTCACGTTGGACAGTAGGAAAAGCTTTTTCACTCTTCTTTATTCACTGAAGTGTGGTTATGATTGTGATAGCCCTTAATTTCAGTGGGAATTTACACTGTGGAACAGCTTTGGAAAGTTGTCCATGCATGGGACAGAGCTTTTCTAAGGGTTGAGACAAGAAGCGTTGTTTGATAAGCAGACCTTGATAATTTGCCAATATGAACACAAGCATGTGCGAAAGGGTGTAACTTAGAGACTGGAGACAACAAGTTCTGAAACCTGTGGTTTTTTCACAGTCTTTATGCTTTCTGGGCTTAAGAAAATTAACTTCAAATTTTGTGAACTCTCTACTTCCAAAGCTGCATACTTAAGATCCATTTACATGTGCTATATTTGCAATGTTTCAGACAATCTCTCTATATTATTTCTCTTATTCTGACACATGTGAATGAAGCATAGGCCTTCTTATGTCTTTCATACTTGCAGAACACTGAGCCGAATGATAATTATGCAATTCACAACATGAATTCCAGTACCAAATTCATTTCCCCTACTAGGACTTAC